AAGAGTGAACATTCCTGAAAGAATTAGCCATGGTATATATAGATCAAGAGAATCATTTATTTTGAGGAGTCATTGGTTTCATTTATTAACAATAACTGCAGAGCTTCCTCTTCAAAGATGACTGAAATAAGCCCTCATTGAGCTTTTTAGTGGCCTTTGTCATGCCCAGATTTCAGGATCCCCAAAAGACCACCAGGGAGCCAGCCGAGTCCAATGCAAAAGCAGATAGAGTCTTTATTCGAGCTAGCTCGGCTCCCCGACGACACTTGCCGACACAGAGGCTGGGGCAGAGAGAGAGCTAGCCCTGTGGGAAGGGGGGTTGTATAGGGGGGTTGGAGTAAGGGGAGGAGAGAGGACTGTGGGCCCTGCCGATTGGCCAGGTGCAAGTCGGCACGCACTTCACTTGATTGTCATTGGTAGCAGAGGCTTGGGCTTCCAGGAAGAAGCTCCTTGCCAAGCACATGGCTAATGGCTGCTGCCCAAAAATTGAGGATCCAGGGTAAGATGGAGGGTGAGGCCCTTGCCCTCTCAGCCTTCACAATTGGTTTGTCCAGTGGGGTCTACTCTACCACATGTATTATCTAAGGAAACAGGAAAGCAGAGTGAAAGTAGTTTTATCTTATTATCTGCATCAAAATCAGTTGCAGAGCCAGGGCAAGCCTCCAGGTCCAAAACACAAGGAACAAGACCAGTTATTTAATTATCCAAAGAGAGTTCTCTAAAAGAAGAGATTTTCAGCATAAACAAGGGTAAGTGAGCTGACTTCAAGTTAAAAGAGAATCTGTTATTTAAAAAAATAGCCTAAAGGAGTATTTCCCATTTATGAAATAAAACACACATCTAGTGAACATTCTGAGAAGAGTAAAGGGAATAAAGTTAAACACTCAAGATAATCGCGGAGCAGAATTATACAACTGACACTGTAAGAAGACAAATAGTGAAGGAAGTAACAATAACTGACTCATAAGATGCCTGATTTTTCCACTTCTAGCTCTGCCTAAAAAAATACAATTTCAGGCATATGAAGGAGGGGAGAAGTCCTCCAAATCAATGCTAGGATTTGTGCTCATAAACATAATCACATAAAATGAGATCATTAGGGTAGGCCCTAATCCGATATAATTGGTATCCTATAAAAGAGGGAAATTTGGGCACAGACAGGTGAACAAGAATGAAATACAGCAATGGAGGCAGAGACTGGAGTTATGCAGCTGCGCGCTAAGGAATGCCAAGGATTGCTGGCAGGGCCCCCAACTGAAGACAAAAGCATGCCATAAATCCCCCCTAAAGCATTCAAGAGAGCATTGTCCTCCCAACATCTTGATTTTCAATTTCTAGTCTCCCAAACTGTTAGAGAATACATTTCTATTATGTTAAGCCACTCAGTTTGTGGTACATGGTTATGGCAGCCCAAGCAAACTAATACACATCTCATCCCTATTTTCAGCCAAACCCTTTGGGTAGTATGCAACCTACCCTGAACTCAAGGAGAACACCAAAGTCCATCTCCCTGGCCACCTGTCCGCTTCAGGGACAAACACGTGATTGAGCAAGAGCCAGTAAGAACTGAGATATTTGTTGAGCTTCTGGAAAAGAAAAATTTCTTCTTCCTTTTCCTGCGTTGCGGCCAAAACTCTCTTTTCTGTTTGGTATGAACAGGAATGTCTTACCCTGGAAACTGCCAGTAGCCACCTTGATACAATGGTGCAGGGATCAAAGAAGCAAAGCAGAGATGTTAAACACAAACCGAGCTTTATTTGCAAGTTCCAGTTACAGGAACCAGTACACTCCCTTTATCACTGGAGTCAGTGAGCTGGCTTTTAGAGAAGTAACAAACAGGAATTTTTAGGGGTGAAAAAGACAGCTTTAGAAATTTTGGAAATTAAGGGGACTGTGGAAGAAGCACAGGGCTGCAGAGCAGCAGAAGGTACATTTCCATAGGATAGGGGAGCTGGAACCAGCAGAAGGTCTATATTTACAAAATAAAGGGAAGGAACCGCCTCATTCAAAGGGAGAAGAAGAAAGCCCAAAGGGAATAGGAAAACAATAAGGGAGAAAAAAACCTCACATGTCCCCTGTGAGGTTCAGCCTTAGCACTCAAGAGTTACTATAGTAACCTGTGTAAGGGAATAGTGACCAATCAGAAGGGCTATCAAGGCACAAAGCTCTGCAGCCTTTATAAACCTTGGAAAAGGGAACTCAGTGGGACTCCTTCTCCCTCCCCTCGTGGGAGTCTGTGCTGTGAGATTATTTCCCCTCCCCACGTGGGAATCCGTACTTGTTCTTCAATAAATTTCCACCTTTGCTGTCCCACCTTCCGTCCGTGGATTCATTCTTCAACTCCAACAGATAAATGGCCCGGGAAATATTCTGCCCAGGGGAACACCGCGTGTTCCAGTCCAAAAATCCCGCTTCACAGCCATTTAGATGTTTACTGATCTCACTGGCCTCTTGAACACCCCATCAGACACCCAACTTACAGTATGTTAACCAAGACGGATTTACTGAACTCAGCTTCACCGAACTTTAGAAAGGCCTCTTCCTGACAACAGCCCCGGGTGTCCCTTGACTTAAAGCATTTACTTTAGAAAACTTTCTGCTGTAAATTCTTTCTCTGCCCCTTTGAGATTCTTCCCCTGTCCCTTTGAGTAAATCTTTTAAAAAGTTTTACAACCCAGGAATGTCTTTCTCAAGGACCTGGGCCCTGGGTGCCCTTCCTTTGAAAGGTGATCATCAAAAGAGACAGCATCTCTATCTTCCAGTCTCTGAGGAGGGGTAAGAGCTTAGCTTCAATCAGCACCAATTAGCAAGCACGGATAGCTAATCACACAGACCAGCACACCCCTGACAGCTCCAGCGATTTCCACTTGCTCACCTCAGCACTCATAACACTTCTGCCTTTGGTTGCAATTGTCTTGAATAAAGTCTCTCTTGCCTGTTTAACTACATCCAGTGCAATTTTTCTTTTATCTCTCAGGATCTACTCTACTCTACATTCTGCTTTCACAAACCCAGGCACTACACAAAATATTCAAAACATTCACAATAGTGACTTGCTAGTGTACCCTTAGTGGGCCATTTCCCTGAGTAACAACACAAGAGTGGTTCTTCCTGTGAGATGAGCAGCTTCAGTCCTTCACCCAGAGCGAGGCCACATTACCAGAATGAATAATGCCAGCAGTCCTTCCCACTGCACCTTGGATTTTTTTTTTTTTTTTTAGTTCATTTTATTCTGTCAGTTTCCTTCCTCTGGCTTTCTCCCCC